TGCAGTGTATTTCCTTACTCTGATATTCAACAGCATGATCATATAGGGTTATTATCCTCAAGAATGGAGGAAATCAGTCATCACAATGATCCATTAAGCCGGAAAAGACAAGTCCAAGCCATCATCATATAGACCTATCAGCCTTCTGCCTTGCCTATCAAAGATATTTGAAAAGCTGCTCAAACAGCACCATCCCGATGCACCAATTTGGAAAAAACATGGAACCATTGAACAAGTAAACCGTATAACCTCTGAGATAAGAAATGTATTTGAAAGACGAGAGTATTGCTCCACTGTTTTTCTGGATGTCGCCCAGGCTTTCGACCGCGTTTGGCTTAATCTACAAAATCAAAATATTACTTCCACAGAACATCCATGGAATATTGGAGTCATACCTACAGCAAAGAAGTTTCGCAGTACGATGCAAAGATTACCTCTCTGAATATCATCCAATTGAAGCTGGTGTACCGCAAGGCAGCGTGCTTGGACCGACACTGTATATCATGTTCACAGCAGATCTACCGACAAACAGCCTAACGACAACTTCGACATTTGCTGATGATACTGCCATATTAAGTCGCTCCAAGTGCCCAAGAAGGGCCACGGATCACTTATCATCTCATCTCGTGGCCTTAGAAAAATGGCTAGCAGACTGGCGGATACATGTAAAAGAGCAAAAGGGCAAGCATGTCACCTTCACGTTAAACAGACAAACTTGCCCTCCATTATGTCTGAACAATATCAACATTCCACAAACCACCGAAGTAACATACCTTGGTGTTCATCTGGATAGAAGACATACTTGGCGTAAACATATCGAAGCGAAGAGAAATCTACTTAAATTTAAAGCTAGTAATCTACATTGGCTAATAAACACCCGTTCACCACTAAAACTGGAGTACAAAGTCCTCTTGTACAATGTAGTTCTCAAACCCATCTGGACATACGGCTCCGAGCTATGGGAAAATGCTTGCGTTAGTAATTTAGAAATAATCTAGAGAGCTCAATCGAAGATAGTAAGATTATTAAATCTAGGATCAGTTAAAGATGAAATTGCCAAAATAAGAGCAAAGTATCAGGCCAAGCTTCAAGCCCATCCTAATAGACTTGCGCAGTCTTTAACTTGGCACACTAGCCATACACGACTCCGGGGAAGAGACCTCCCCACCCAGCAATAATATTTAGCTAGGGACGTACTCCAAGTAATTAAGTGTAATTAATTAAATAAATATTATTAGGTTAAGATTTGCATACTTGTCGTTAGTCTCTAATAGGGAAGATTCGATAAATATAATGCCGTAATAAAAAAAAGGAAGTAGAATCTATATGTTAGATGTAGAATATACATTTTAGATGTAGATAACAGATGTAGCAAAAAAATGTAATATTTAACCGCGTTTACAGATCCGTTAATTAGTGCTAGATGACCAACCCCATAATAAAAACGAGAAGGAACGTGTGAGTCGCTTCTGGGGACGCGACTCTACTTATACCCGTACTCAGTCAGTATATACATTTTTGAGCTTATGATTTTTAAGAATTTTAGAAAAAAAAAATTTTACATGTTACATTTTTTTGCTACATCTGTTATCTACATCTACAATGTATATTTTACATCTAACATGTAGATTATAGATGTACCATTCATATTCTACATATCCTCCGCTAGGGGTTGCTCGCGCACTGAACGCGGCAGAGTGTGCGAGCGAGATGGAAAATTAGTTGCGTTTTCGTCGTCTGGAGGGGTGGCAGGGGAAGCAACAGAAAATTAATTTCTTCATTCTGGCTATAATTAGATTTGGCAATCTGGTAGATATGGGCATTCTCTACGATACTACGCAGTTGAGCTCGCAACCTTCCAAAAGGTATTTTTTGTTCATTTTTTCCATATTTTAGGTTTGGTTAACGAATTTTAGCTCCAAAGTCTCTCCATAGATTTTAATGAGCGATACCTTAAACGACGCCAAATTAATGCACCTATAAACAAAAAAATAGAGGACACAGGATATAAGTTTTTTTCGACTTTTCCTGAGTTTTTAAAGTCAAAATTTCGTAAAAAATACCGCACAAAAATCATCATTTTTGCATTTCAATGCCTTTTATTTCCCAGACGGTAAGCTGTAATCACAAAGTGTTTGGGCTTAACTTCTAGCTGTTTTAATTATCTTTTCAAAATAGCAAAGTTCTTTACAACCAGACGTAAGATACTAGAGCTATGTGAAAAAAACAAGCGCTACCTCTGAAAAAAGCTTAAAAAAAAATACCTGTTTTCAAAAATTCTTCAAAAAAAAGTTCTGCCATAGAAAAAAAAAAAATATCATCAAACCATTTCTAAGCCCCAAATCTTTAAGAAAAAGTTCGTTTTGTTCCTTGAGGAAAAATCGTGTTGACTAGTGTTATTCGTACGGTGCGTTAAATATTAGCTGTTTTGATTAAAAACATAATTTTTTTTAATATTAATATTGTGTAACATCTCCTTTGGCCTCTACAACGCATTTACAACGCTTTGGCATAGATTTTAATAAATTCTGGCATTGTTCTTTTGAAATAGAGTCCCACATCTCTTGCAGTTTTATTTTTAGGTCAGAATAGCGATTTATAAAGGGGTACAAAATCCGGATGGTCTTGTTTGTTTTTTCAATAGTTTTTATCCAGATTGATCCCTAGGAATTTAAACAAGCATTCCCATGAGATTCCCATGAAACATTGGGCTGAGCTTCAGTTTAGCATTCAGTTTAATTTTCCATTTAGCAAGGAAACTGGACATTGAGTTAAGTGAGTGCAGCAAGAATTGGTATGTCGCTAATGCAAACGTTATACAGGATGGGACCAAGCACTGAGCCTTGTGGAATCCCAGCTCGTACTATTTCATTTTGGAGCTACTGCCATTTACGGATACATAAAAGTTCCTTTCAGATAGGAAACTTTGTACAATTTTTAATAAAAACGAAAAGGAAAGTGCGAGTCGCTTCTGGGGACGCGACTCTATTTATACCCGTACTCAGTCAGTATATACATTTAAGAGCTTATGATTTTTTAGAATTTTAGAATTAAAACAAAAAAATTAACATTTTACATTTTTTTTGCTACATCTGCTATGTACATCTATAATGTATATTCTACATCTAACATGTAGATTGTACATGTTCCATTTAGATTCTACATCAGAGGCCGGCAGCGTCGTATGCACTGTCACTAACCATACAGTATATAGATGTGCCAGTTCATACAACGAAAGGGGCGCAGCTGAGTTTGAAGCGTACGTTCCCAGGTCTTCGGCTCTGGGGCTGACCGCGTTCGGCTCTGGGAATGACCGCGTTCGGCTCTGGGAATGACCGCGTTCGGCTCATGACGTGACACGAGCCGACGGACAGCAAGCATGTATGTGTTGTGTACGTGTAACACTCCAAAATATATGATTGTATGCATAGAATAATTTTTAGCTACCGAAACTGACTTTGCTTGAGATTTCAGTTTACGTAAATGTGTGTGTGCGATGTATTCTCACATTCTGTGCTTGTGTGGGTTCTACAATTTTTCGCCGCTTGAATTGGTTTTTCGTTTTGTTTTGAGGGCTGATGTAGCGACCTGAGCTGACCTGGCGCAACATAAATGAGGAATGGGCAGAGTGGGTGGGGGTGGGAAATAAATACAACATATAAAAATAAAGGATTTTATCTCCGCTCATATCTCCTTAATTAAAATTAGATTCGCTAAAGCTCTGGAAAATGTTCTACTAGATGTGTACATTTATTTTATTCAAAGCGTTCATAAAATATTTTTTAATTTTGCCACCTCTTTTCACCTGAGTCCCCAATGTAAATATACACAGTACACACAAATAACAACTTTAAATTTTAAAGTTTAAAACCAAAATCGACCTATTCAGGGCCGGATCACGGATTTCACGCCAGTTCCTTCTCTTTTCATTTGAAATAAAAACTTATAAATTTAATGTTTGTTTAATTAATTTGTATGTTTATCAGTGGCTATTATATTTTTTATCCATTATTTGGAGTTTTGTTTTTTCAACAAATTTTTCTGTTAGCCCTATGGGGGCCCTCGGCAAATGCTAATCTGGCCCTGGACCTATTCCCGTCGTCAGACTTCATATTTTGTTGGCGTATTCTGTCGCTCGACTCGACGCGGGCCGAGGCATTGACGAAGCCGAAAGCAGAGGCAAAGGCTAGCTCAAAAGAGAATGGAAGAAATTCCCCGCGCACCCGTACCATGAAACGTCAAACGAAAATTGAACGAGCATTTGCTCCTCGTGCAACATCTTTGTATTGTATAGTCTTTGCTAAGAGTTATACCCCGAGAAACAAGTCATTCCCACCAAGCGGCATACAAAATATGTAAATTCTGATTTGGCAATAACCGAACGATTATAAAAAGTGATGGGTGTTATTTATGGAGCTAAACATCTAAATAAACTCATACTTAAAAAAAAACACCACATTATCCTCCCCGCAAGGAACCTCGACTGATCATAATGGCCGTGCCGAGCCCTGATGTATATCGATCTCTTAAAGTTAACATAACTCTCCAATGTTGTTTGCTTACTTGGCTCTAGTGCTTGTGCTCGTATATCATTGTGTCGTCCATCATCGGCTTTTGTTTTCTGTGCGAGTCTTGAAAAGGGCGTCTGCATTGCAGAACCACTTCAAATCCGATCATCACTGGACGTTTCTGACTGAAACACATCCCACAAATATTATAAACTTAGCGAAACTAAGCCAAACTCATTGTTATCGTCTAAAAACGGTTCCATCCGGGTCCGCCTTTTTTAGTTGCATATCTCGGCAAATCCTTCAATCGGCCCTGTGCTGCAAAATAAAAAATTATTCATTAAAACTCAAAATGGCGTTTATGGCATAAATGATAAGATTACACATATACTAACTAAGTATCGGGAACAAGTATCACGTGTGCCGCGACTCCCAATGTACCAACTGGTTTTTCATCGCAATTTTATACGTTTTGTTGTAATTTTTCCATAGCTTGCTTTGCTGGCCCGCACGAGAAGCGCTTGCTGCATGCCCTTCTGGACAACTACAACAGCTTGGAACGGCCAGTGGTCAATGAATCAGATCCATTGCAGTTGAGTTTCGGACTAACGCTCATGCAAATAATCGATGTGGTAAGTGCCAAGCTAAAAAATTATAGAGTCAGATTGGGTTCCATGTAGTTTCGGTTTCGGTTTTGCCTACATATACATAAATATATAAGTACATATCTAGCCAGAGCCCGTGTAAAGGAAAATTTTTGCACGGGGCGAAGTTGTTAAACGGCGCCCCATATCACCCTTTATATTCCACATTTTTGTTGGATGAAAATTAAATAAAAACGAGAAGGAACTTTGTGAGTCGCTTTTGTGGGCGACTTTATGTAGAATTTTAAAATATTTTAGATTCTAAACTTTTTTGCTACATCTAATGTCCTAGGGCATAACCCCCTGGTTCCCGATCGATAACCTTGCGATTACACTACCCGACACAATTTTTCCGCTTCGTACCAAACCAACTTTTTATACCCGTACTCAAAAAAGAGTTAAGGGGTATATTAGATTTGTGGTAAAAGGGGATGTGTGTAACGCAGAGAAGGAAACGTTTCCGACCCCATAAAGTATATATATTCTTGATCAGCATCAATAGCCGAGTCGATATAGCCATGTCTGTCTGTCCGTCCGTCTGTCCGTCTTGATGAGCGCCTAGATCTCAGAGACTATAAGAGCTAGAGCCACCAAATTTGGTTTCCACACTCATGTGATATCCCACTGCTACAAGTGTATTTCAAAATTTCGCCCCGCCCCCTTCCGCCCACACAAAGAACGAAAATCTGTGGCAGGCACATTTTTAAAGATACGATAAAACTAAAAACGCAGTATCGTAGAGAATGCCCATATCTACCAGATTGCCGAATCTGAACTAGATCAGATCATAATTATAGCCAGAATGAAGAAATTAATTTTCTGTTGGTTCCCTCTCTTTCTCCAGCGCTGCTGACGCTACTGATTCTCTTTCTCGCTCGCACACTCTGCTGCGTTCAGTGCGCGAGCAACCCCTAGCGGAGGAGATGTAGAATATAAATGGTACATGTACAATCTACATGTTAGATGTGGAATATACATTGTAGATGTAGATAACAGATGTAGCAAAAAAATGTTAAATGTAAAATTTTTTTTTTAATTTTTAAATTCTAATAAATAAAAAATCATAAGCTCAAAAATGTATATACTGACTGAGTACGGGTATAAGTAGAGTCGCGTCCCCAGAAGCGACTCACACGTTCCTTCTCGTTTTTGATAGATTTGGGGCTTTAAAAAGGCTTTATGACATTTTTTAAGAATTTAAATAAAATGAGTTTTTTTATGCCTTTTAACGCCTATTTTTTTACAACTTTAGTATCATACATCTGGTTGTAAGCATTTTTGCCATTCTAAAGAGCTATATGTGCAGGGTCTTCTTTTTGGGCCGAGGAGATCCTCAACGCAACCACAAGTTGCTCTGCTGCGTCGGACACGTGCCGACGAGCATCCTGTAGCCGCCGCCTTAGTCTCCTGACCTCTCGGCGTTTTGAATGTAGCTCGGCAGTCCACCAAACTACTTTCCTCGCGGCTCTGGGCGTGCTGCGTCCCAGCACTCTGTCGCACACACTGTGCACTACAGAGCGCAGTGCAGCCAGTCGGTTGTCCAACGGCGATTCGGCGATGTCCTCCGGCAATTCGGATGTCTCCCTTGCCACCTCTTCCTTGAACAATCGCCAGCGCGCATTGAAAAGCTTCCAGGACGGCACAGGAGCAATGCTCTCAACTGTGTCGGTCGGATCACGCGTCACCTCAACATGGATCATGTTGTGGTCGCTCGTATCCCATTCCCTCACTTCCCAAGCGTATGTGGCCTACATAGTCGCAGCTTGATTGGCGAATGTTACATCAATGTCGCTGTGAGCTCTGCGGTTATCGAATTTAATCACCCGACTGGCCTCGTTGAGCACGCCGGCTCGGTTCTCGGTAATACACTCAGACAGCAGCTCACCCCGTGCATAGTTAGCTTGCATGCTCGGAGAGTTTGCTAAACCACGCTGGGGATACTGCGTTCGCGTCGAGCCCAAAGATGACGGGAGTGCGACTGGCCAGCAACAGCACCGCATCTAGGTACCTGAGGTACGGCGCCAAGTCGGTGTTGAATTGGCAATATACCGAGCATAGGATGATTGAGCCAAATCTTCCTTGCACTCTGACGCATACTCCATGTTCGGTGGTAAGGGGGTCTATTGGCGTGCAGATGGCTTCCGGTTCATCGACGATGATTGCAGCTTTCGGGTTTCCGTCACGAAAGGGGCGGTCCTGGAATACTCGCATTCCCGAAGGAAGGCCAGTAATCCGCCCTGCTCTATCGACATACGGCTCCTGGATCAAGGCGAACAGATGGCCAGAGTTGCGGATGATGGATCCAAGATCCACCACAGCCGCTCGGCCACGGCCACTAATAGCTTGCATGAAGCTGAGCACCCTCGCCAATACCGCTGCGTAGATCGGGCATGCCGCTTACAGCGTGGAATGTGCTAACCCTTGAAGCGGCAGTTTCGGCAGTCCACCGGGTTGGGGCACTTCGAAACGTTGTGGCCGCGCTGTCCGCACCGGTGGCACACGTTCTCCTTTAGGCGGCACTGGGACAACTTGTGGTCGAAACCCACACACCTGTGGCAGGCGTAGGTCCTGACCAGGGAACGACAGCGGCATCGGAACCACTTGATATATACGCAATCGCGTAACACCACCTGTGCCTTCGCATCGACCTCCAGCATCACGTTGACCGTGGCGCCGTCGGTGACCGACCAGGGTTTGCTGCCCAGGTGAACCGTCTTTTTAAATTCCGCAGCGGAAATGGAATCCTCTAGGTTCTTGGTGAAGAGCTCCTCCATGAACTCTTCAGGCGTGATGGACGTGTCGACGTCATACACCACGACCTGAGGCCTGGTCTCCGGGCTCTTCCTCACTTCCAGTCCTGCTTCGTGGAACTTCGCGCTGTCCACTACCTTCTTGAGCTCACTGAACGAAGGCGTGCGAATGATCGCTCCTCCGCTCTTCAGCTCACGAACCTCGTGCACTCGGACTCCGAGTTTGGGCACAACGTCCTTCCTCACTCGCTCCACTAGTTGCTTCCCCGTCTCCTCCGGGTTCGTGCTCTTAATAAGAGCCGACCAGGTTTCGCGCGGCCTCGCGATCGGTGGGGCGACAGCGCTCGGTGCCGGCAAGCCTGGGAAGGCTGCCGCATACGCAGCGGTGGGAACAGCGGTGGTGGCAGCGTGGGCAGCGGCAGCGGGACTCTGTGGAGGCGGCATACGTGCCCTCTCCTCCAGGCGCACCTTGTCCCCAGCCAGAGCCATAACCAGCTCGTCGTACCTATTGGTAGCGACGAAGACTGCCATGGCGGCCTCCGGGGTCATGCCTCCATTGAGGACTGCCTCGCTAACGCTCATCCTAATGGACGATATCTCCGCAGCAACAGCCGAAAATCCAGCCGCAGCAATGTCAGTTGCCTGGCATGTGGCAGCGGTGACGGTAGCGGCGGTGGCAGCAGTGGTATTGGCAGCGGTGGGCGCGGCGACAGTGGTAGTGGCAGCAGTGGTGGCGGCGGCGCTGTTGGCGGTGGCCGACCCCGCCTACGGGCGGGGACACTCGACGACGAGCTCGCCCCAACACTAGCCAGGCTAGCGTCGCTGGCGTCGGCCTCCGTGTCCACCACCATGCTCTGGCTCCCTCTACCGGTTCTCTCTGACACTAAGCCTTAGCGGAGACACGAACCAAAAGCGCTGCTATCAGAGTTTTCAACCAAGCTTCGAAAAAAGCTCGACTAGAAAGCTCTAAAAGCTCAAAGCTAAACAGCTGATGTCGAGCTAAAGCACGTGGCCAAGTCCGTGCCAGTTCTTAATTGATTGTTAAGCATAGTATCTAGCCCTGCGGAATCGAAAAATTCCTGTCACACTCCATATAAAAAAAACTGTGACAGGAATGTTTCGTTTACGTATTCCTGGAGTGTGTATCCAGCAACACGAGCGGAATCCACAGATTTATATCGATAGTTGCCTATCAAGAACGTGTCTGGTCCCGCTCCCAGTGTGTGCGATCAAGTGATTCTGTTGGTGGCGGCAAAGATTCTATAACACAACAAGATGCGTAAAGAGGAAGAAAAAAATGTATGCCAGCAGCACAATTTTTAAAGAAATCTAATGAAAACGAAATTAAGGTACTGCAAAACTTACGAAAACAAATACGGACGGTGGTGCAGCGGCAAAGCTACATGTACCATTTAGATTCTACAACTCCTCCTCTAGAGAGCGCTCGCGTACATACCGCTGTGGCAACCCGGATCGCGGCCCTCTGGCAGGGCCAGCAACAGCCTCGAGACGAGATGGCAGCTCCAGCAACGGACTCTCGACAAGTTAGCAGCTTCAGCAACTACGACGACACGCGACAAGACATTGTAATAAAATATTAAGAAATAAAGAGTTATACTAAACGACAGATAGAGCGTACATTGGCCAAGCCGCCAAAACGCGGCAGAGTGTGCGAGCGAGAAAGAGAATGAGTAGCGTGTCTCTAGCTGAAGGAGGCGGGGGAAGCAACTGAAAATTAATTTCTTCATTCTGGCTGTAATTATAATCCGATCTGATTCAGACTCGGCAATCTGGTAGATATGGTCATTCTCTACGATACTGAGTTTTATCGTATCTTTAAAATTGTGCATGCCACAGATTTGTAGGGTCTTTTGTAGGGGATCTGAATCAGATCGGATCATAAATATAGCCAGAATGAAGAAATTCATTTTCAGTTGCTTCCCCCGTCTCCCCCTGAATGAAACACGGTACTGATTATCTTTCTCGCTCGCGCACTCTGCCGCGTTCAGTGCGCGAGTAACCCCTAGCGGAGGAGATGTAGAATATGAATGGTACATCTATAATCTACGTGTTAGATGTAAAATATACATTGTAGATGTAGACGTAGATTAGAGTTGTAGCAAAAAAATGTAAAATATAAAATTTTTTTTAATTCTAAAATTCTAAAAAATCATTTGCTCCAAAATGTATATGCTGACTGGGTACGGGTATAAGTAGAGTCGCGTCCCCAAAAGCGAC